GATATATATGGGAGCTATATCTAAATTTGATCCGATTCTCACCAATTTCAATAGGGTTCGTCCTTGGGCCCAAAAAATATTGTTTGGAAAATTTCATCTCAATCGGATAATAAATGCGACCTGCATTTTGTTCACAAGAATACATGGAGAGACGGACGGACGGACGGACGGACAGACGGACTGACATGCATAAATCGACTCAGAAAGTGATTCTATGAAGGTTCTCAAAAGTAACCATGGGTCTATCTCGTTTCCTTCTCCATGTTACAAACAAATGCACAAAGACATAATACCCTTACCACTATGTGGTGTAGGGTATAAAAACTTAGGAGCTAAGTATTTACGCATCATTAACCTTACGCATCGAACCCTATAAAAATTGGTGATAATCTGTCCAAATTTAGATATAGCTCTCGTATATATCATTATCTGATTTGAAATTGATTGTACACAAAGTGAGGAATATAAGCCCAAATGAGATGAATTTTTGGCGACGCAGGTTACAATAGAAGTTCGTACATGCAATTGGGTAAATGTCGATTCAGATATAGCTTTATCTCTTATATATACATTTCATCCGATTTCACGTTTATTGTTTATATAATATTGGTTAAAATCGATCCAAATAAGATGGATTTTGTCACATGCGACCGAATTTTGCCCAGAAATTTGGTAAAAATTGCTTCAGATACAGCTATTGTTCCGATATATGCTTCATGCGATAGTATATTAAAGCCGCCCATACCCTTAATAAGCACTCTATGATAATCATTTTCAGTACAAGATATCATATATATCCTGGAAATACATTTTTCTAATACTCTTGAGATCGGTTTAGGTCCAAATAGGATCGGTGTCCAATTTTGTGAAAATCGGTTAAGATGTAGCATTTCTCACATATATGTGTTTCATTTAAACGGCTTAAGATAGGAAGCTTGGTTTTGAATAAATTATGGGTAAAAGTTTTTGTCTAGAGGTAATCGGTATTTAGACAATATTATCCACATTTTCTAACGGAATTTACGATATTTAGAGTTCGTAATGGGCTTCACGCCCTGTACCAGAAATTTGTTAATAAAAAATCATATACGTCCCATATAAATGTACCTTCCGATGTTCGGTATTTTAACCATATTACCCACATTTACTAACGGAATCGTTTCAAATTAAGAGTTCCAATGAGTATGAGGAGGAGGGTATGTTAAACTTGTCATTCCGCTTGCAATACCTTCAAATATTCTTCGGAGACCCCAGGAAGTATATATATATTCCTGATCAGAATAAAATTATAAGGCGATTTTTATATTCTACATTCCGGTATTTTGGAGGGTTCTGCTGCAATTTCCAACTGAAACATGACAATTGTGGTTTTCGATAAGTCAGGGGAGACCCTTGCAAGAAAATATCGATCCTGGTCCGCTAATTGGTATAGCCCCCATATTACGGCTCCCGATTTTCCGTATTTTTGAGGTGCTTACCACAATTTTCAACCAAATCAGCTGAAACTTGACAATTAGGGCTCTCGGTAGGTCTGCTCTCTCCTTGGGATAATGTTCGATTAACCCCCACGAATTGGTATAGTCCCCATATAAGGGTACCTCAAGATTTTCAGTATTTTTGAGGTTTCCGCCACAATTTTCAATCAAATTAGATGATGAAATAATGACAGTGGTGGAAGGTATAAAAAGTTCCACCCGGCCGAACTTAAAGCGCTTTTTACTTGTTGTTTACGGATTAGTTGGCCTCAGATATTCTGTTTCTGTGGACAATATTTTAATAGACTTCTATCAATTGACTCTTTTTTGATCAAAAGGATTATCCAAAATTTGTATTGCCTAGTCCACTGTTGGTGCAAATGTGCCAGTAGCAGTAATGCTAACAACTGATATAAGTTTATTTAGTGCTACGAAGCGAGCGTTCATAACTTAGATTTAAATTGTTTTTCGGATGGATGGATGCCCTTACATCGCCACTTTCAGCAAAGCAGCAAGCAGCACCCTGCAACACAACACATTTAAGGTCGATTCACGTTACGCCGCCATCCATCCCGCCTTGTAATTGTGGCCGCTCACCGAATTGTGGCCCATGATTTTGTCTTGCTGCCAAGCGTGACTTATGTTTGTTAATTCCACAACTCGTCGTTGTCGTCGTTTGTTGGTCGTAGTGTTTGTTGTTTTGTTCTCTTCTATGGTGCTGCTGATTTGTCTCGCCGGTTGTGTCCCATTGTCGTTGTTGTTGTTGCCCGTTTTTTGTTGTTCTTTTGTGATGTTGTTGTTGTTTCCAAAGGAAGCCGGCATTTTTGAGGTTAGCGTTTAGCTTCGAGGGAAGTGCTAAAATGAAAACAAACAAAACAACAAAAGTAACGAAATGAACTTTTCGAAGCGAAGACACGATGAAAACACGACGTGTGGCACGTTGTAGTGTCATGCAGAAAAGAGCCGCAGGTGGAGTTCTTTAGCTTTTTTTAAAATCTCTCATTTTTCTCTTTACACATTATGCTGAGAAAGAGAGTGCTTCAATTAAATGAGAAATTTTACTCTCGAAATGCACAGGGAAAAATCGCAAAAAATACATCGCTTTTTGATCTAAAATAAATAGTACTTGAATTAATTTACTGATTTATTTTTAAAGTTATCCCCTCAAAACGTTGACCATTTCAAATTATATATTACTATCATATGCCCGCTATCTAACGTGTGCGCTACTATTGTACGCATTTGCAAAACCTCCACCAGATACTAGCAGAGACCTTAATATAAAATTTCGGGATTCCAGCTCTTTTAACTCACTCAATACCAAATTTAGTAACACTTGTTCAATTTCGTATAATTTTAGATCTCATTTGCAAAGCCTTTCTACATCACAATTCTACACACGAACAGTTATAACAATATCAAATTTCGCGGTGTCAGCCTTATCCCTTTACCCAATTCTAAATTTAGTTTCCATCTCCATAGCAGAGACTAACAGATACCTCAATATCAAATGTCAGCCAATACCTATTTTATGATCACTCAGCACTTTTCGAACAATTATAGCACACATTTCCAAAACCACCGCTTTTTTAACAACAGACACTAATAGTGACATCCACATAAAATTTCAGAATTCCCGCTTTATTCCTTCACCCAATACAAAATTTAGAACTTTTCGTACAATTATAGTACCTATATAGCCAAATCTCAAACACTCTCTCTCAAACACATATACAGCAACCAACTTCAGACTGCTGTCATTTCTAAGCCACTCGTCTGACAGCTACTAAAATTACAGCTCATTATATTGTTTACAAGCGTACAAAAGCATTTTGGTGAAAATTTCCAGAAAAAAGTTATTCGTGATGGAATTCAAGCGTGATAGTGTGATTTCTTTACATTTGGTTAGAAAACCACAAGTGGCTATCGTTAGAGCACTCCAGAATTTAAATTTGAATAAATCTTTTGTGTCTCGTACCATCGCTCGTTACCGTGATACTGGTAGCGTAGCCCGACGTCAAGGAAGTGGACGGTAGAAAACAGCAACATCGGTAGAAATGGTTCGAAAAGTAAAAAAGCGCGTCGCAGTGACAGAAAAATGGCTCGTGACCTGAACATATCGCAGTATTCCATTCGGCAAATATTGAAAAACGAGCTCGGGGTAAAGCCATTGAAATTCCAAAAAGTGCAAGAAAGAAAATAGACTCAAAAGAGTTGCTTCGCTGGGCCAAAAGTGTTGAACTGCCGAATTTGGTTTTCTCCGATGAGAAAACGTTCGTTGTCCAGCAGCTTGTAAACAAACAAAATGATCGTGTTTACATGCCAAAGAAGTCAACTGAACTCAAGCGCCGGCCATGGTGATGGGGTGGCCCGCAATATTCTGGAGGATGCCTTGGGCACGCAAACATTTTGGCCGAAGACCTTGGCCATTCCAAAAGGAATCAGCACCATCGCAATCAGCACGCGCCATCCAAGAACGTTTACAAAATGAGGTTCCTCATTTCCAGCGCACAATGGCCGCAAAAATCTCCGGATACCAATACGTTGGACTATTGTGTCTGGAGTATTTTGGAAAGCAAGGTTGAAACTAAAAGGCCATAAGTCGTGCCAAAGGTGACCAATTCGAACATATCTAAACTTATTCTAAAATTTGATGTTATTTCCGACATTTTTTGCTTTTATTCAATAAAATTAAAAAAAATAAAAATTATGACGTTTTTTTTTATCTCAACCTGGATATATTAAACATACTTTCATACCAATTTTTAAATTGTTTTGCTCTATGTGTTTACATAATACCAAATGAAATTTAGTACCACTTTAGAACTTTTTGTAAGCTTAGATTTTGATTTTCCAAAAATCCTGAAGTACATTTATTCTGCACTCCATCAGTGGCTTTTTTCCGAAACTCAGAACAAAGTATTCAAGTTTTAGTCCCTTTTAGTACGAATTTCAAAAACCTAGCCTTATCACACTACTAGGAACCTTTTCGTCGGCCTCTTTATCGTCTCCTGTGAATTTTCTTTCATCCGAAAACCGAACTTTTTTCCAGTGCACTTTTTGAGTGTAAGAATATTTTCTCTTTGAAACGAGCAACTGAAAGAGACAAAGAGCTAACTAAAATTGTCATTTATGCCACAAAGCAATGCAACAATAACAACAATCAAAGTGTGACTTGCAGATTTGTGGCAAATAAGCAACAACATTTCAAACAAACAAAGCCCAACTCCACATCCAACAGACAGCAATCAAATTGAGCAACAGCAAAAAAACTAATGGCCCAGTCAGAGTTACTCTGCTCCCCGTGTGGACATTGTTCTCTTTAAAGGCTGAGAGCGTAAGTCAGGTTAACTGCTGTTGGTTCTTGTTTTCTTGTGTGCCACACCACAACAAAAACAATTCAGTAACAAAGAACTAACAGACGGTCGAACGGAGGAATGAATGGATGGTTGGTTGGATGGATGGACACAATGGCACTAAATAAGCGCAGACAATTCTGGCAAATGCTTCAGTCTATGACAAGATTTTATCGGGTGCGTATCTCCGCTCTAACGCTAAAGTGAGTTACTCGGCTCTTTCGTAAACGTTTTCGTAAAACGCACACTGCCGACTACTAATACGGATTCATTCAGTTAGTCAGTCAGGTTGTTAGTCCTCAATAAAACAACATTGCAACTAAGTGGGATTCGTTTCGTGTCAAAGAAAGAAATTTTTATGCGATTGCGCAGTTATTCGAACCGGCGATCCTGAAGAGTTGTAGTTGTGAAATGTGTGTGTGTGTGTGATTCTGCTTTCCGTGGACGATTTGTTGCATTTGCACGGTGGTTTTTTGGCAAATGTGAAAGTGTGTTTGTGTGCTTATACAATAATCCTTGCAGCCCTCTGCCTAATATGTAATTCACGCATTTAACATTTAGTTCAACGGCAACATTACAATGTGTCACTTTTAACGTGTTTGGTTCAACGCATTCGTGAATCGGAGGACAAGTGTCGAATTTTGATTTGTAGTGGACATTTTCGTGATTTAATGCAAAACCGGTCGAGTTTTATGTTTATTATTGAGTGTTGTAATTTTTTCGCATCGTTTAGAGGATATTGAAAAAGAATTCCGTATTATTTGTAACCTTGAATAAAAAAATTGACTTTTATTGGGTTACAAAGTTAAATAACAAAAGACCGTTTTCAAATATCACAAAAACAGTCCAGTTTGAAATATACTACACAAAATTTATATTGCAGAACATTAACAAATTTACAGATCCTTAGAACGTGAATTTTAAAGAATTTTTAAAGTGACAAAGAATAGATTCTAAATAAATTTGTAAGACCTCCCAGAAAGAAAATTTCTGCAATTCGGATTTGGAAGATAGATTTTGAATAATTTTTGTTGGGTTTCAGAACTTGGGGAAATTTTTTTGGCAACATATCAACATATTTCGTTTTTCATACAACACTATGTGTCTTTATGATACACTACACCGACTTTATGAAACCCTACACCACATTGCATATTTAGTAGAGCAACCCATAACAAATATCCTTTTTATGGGGAATTCATGGGAATTAAATCATACAAACTATCACAATTTTCAAGTAGGTCAGTCAGCCAAAATGAACTAACATATTGGAGGTATATCCTCCAATGAATCGAATTCTACTAATTCCAACCATTCCATTCGAGCTTATGTAAACCATTTGGATCATAATAAACTTCAAATCTAGTAAAGATATATATGGGATATACATCCAAATCTGGACCGATATTGATAAAAATCGGCAAATGTATTTTTGTGCTCTATTTTCTAAAATTTCCTCGAATATCAATGGTACGGAGTGAATATTACGGCTTTGATATATTACGTTTTGGTATGGCCCCCATACAATGGTATCTCCTTATATCCGGTATTTTGATGATTTTAGCTACATTATTCACCGATTTTTTCAAGTTTTGCAATTTGAATATTATGATTAAGGTTGCCTATGCAGGCCCACGTTGTCGTATTTTTAACGGTTTTTGTTTTTTTGGATATTGCCAAATTCGTTCTTGATCAGCGTAAAATTATAAGTCGATTTAGCCATGTCTGTCTCTCTGTTGTAATCACGCTATCTTTCGAACGAATTGAGATAGAAGGCTAAAATTTTGCACACGTGTTTATTTTTCCAGTAGGCAGGTTAATTTTGTAAATGGGCCATGTAGGTCCACGTTTTCATATAGCCCCCAATATAACGGTACTTCCCGATATTCGGTATTTTGATGATTTTAGCGACATTATTCACCGGAATTGTTTCAACTTTGGTATTTGAAGTTCGAAGTGGATACTACAGCCTATGACAGAAAATTATCTGGCCAGGGCCACGTCTTCGTATAGCCCCATATAACGGTAACTCCCTATATTCGGTATTTTGATGATATTAGCGACATTATTCACCGGAATTGTTTCAAATTTGGTATTTGAGATTCGTAATGGATGCTACAGCCGATAACAGAAAATTGTCTGTGCAGGTCCACGTCTTCGTATACCCCCCATATAACGGTACCTCCCAAAATTCGGTATTTTGATGATTTTAGCGCCATTATTCACCGGTATTGTTTCAAATTACGTATTTAAAGTTCGTAATTGGAACTACAGTCTGTGACAGAAAAATGTCTATGCAGGTCCAGGTCTTCGTATAGGCCCCATATATCAGTACCTCCCCATATTCGGTATTTTGACGAGTTTAGGTACAATACCCTCCGAAATTTTTTGAGATATCGTATTTGACGTTAGTAATGGATGCTATAGCCTGTGACAGAAAATTGTCTATGCTGGTCCAGGTCTTCACACAGCTCCGATATAATGGTACCTCCGTATATACAATATTTTGATGATTTTAGCTACATTATTCACCGTTTATTTCAAGTTTGGAATTTGAATATGGTAATGGCTAATGGCAAATAATGCCTATGTAGGTCCACGTCGTATAGACCCCAATATAACGGCAATATTCGGTATTTTTAAAATTTAACAGAATTTTTTAAGGATTTTAATTTTTTTAAATTTCCAAATTCGTTCCAAATGGTGGAGGGTATTCAAAGTTTGGTCCGGCCGAACTTAATGCTTTTTAACTTCTTTATTTAATTCATATGCTTAAAGTTTGTTATATATAGTTCGTAATAGGAACCATTCTAGCAAACTGTCTATATAGGTCCAAGTTTTCGTACAGCAATCATGTTATGGTACCTCCCGATATTCGTTGTTTTGTTGACTTTAGTCGAATTTGCAAAAAAAAATTTTTTGTCTCGAAAGTTCATACTAACAGAAACAGCATTCCAATACTGAAGCTGGACACTTATAGAATTTTTTTCAAAAGCATTACTTTCCAAAAATTCGGCTTGACCGAACTTGATTGTTCCTTTTTTGTTTTCGCTAAAATTTGTAATTATGGATGTTGAATGTAAACTATGGATATGGGTAATATGGGTTTGGCCGATTCAATTTGCATTCAAATTCTGTACTGACCAATTTAATTTGTGTCCACAGTCTTAGTCACATTTTCATTTCGCAAATTCTTCTTCATTGTACATTCTCGCAAAAATATGATCAATAAACATTCAGGATTACGATGCGAATACCGGAATTATTCTACCGTGAGCCATACATAAGTTACTTTTAGTTGTCAACGCGATATAATTTAACGCCGTTCCAAATCGTTATACCCAACACGTCATAATATCCTTCATAAATCCCATAAAGTATATGTATATATCTTATGAAATGGCTTAAAATTTAATGTTTATTTAGGCATTTCCGTGCCTGTGTCGGTATGCTAAAATCACGAGAGATATTGCTCTATTAATTATAGAGCTTTGAAATATACACGCGCATTAAAAATTCCAAGATGTTTGCAATACTCAAGTCAATTGAACGCCGCCTCATATTCAGACTAGCTTTGCATTCTTATCAGTTGTCCAAAAAGACTTAATAAATAAATGTTATTCTAAGCTAGAGATGTATTAAAATATGTTAAGTACTCAAATTTTTGTCTAATTAATTAAACTAATGTTAGTACAACAAGTAACACTTAGGCTTGTCATTAGCTAAGTGGTAAATGAATTGAATTATGATAGAAGAATACAGACGTTGACACAGCTACTGAAACAATGAACTCTCACACCAATTTTGAAATTCAAAATTTTAAATGAAAAATTATTCAAATTCGTAAAAATTGTTGAAATTGCATATCATAACAACCACCGATCGGTGATGCATAAAAAAATGCAAATCTAAAAACAACCTTTAAAATTTTTTGACATTTCAATGTTGCCAAACGTTTATATAACACCCATATGACGGCACCTCGTTTTCGATATTTCGGTGGTTTCAGAATCAATTTCTGCTTAATCGGTTGTAATTTGACATTGTGGACTTTCTCTGGGCAGATTTTCTTCTCGCAAAAAATGTTTAATGTGCGTCAATTTTTATACCTTTCACCATTTCAATTATGTATGAAACCTCTTTTCATAGAGCTGTCAATATAGGATAGGGCTTTTTATAGTCCGTATATAACTGTACCTCTGGATATTCGGTATTTTGATGATACAGGTTCACGCATGGTACAATGAATTCAAGGTAGGGCAGAACAACCATATGATTTCAATTTTTTCATTTTTCTGGCTTAATATGTCAACTTCATTTGTTTATGTGTGTGTATTTTTTCAATAATAAAAAATTGTTCAGGAAATATTCAAATTTGGGTGTTTTCAAAATGCTTATTGCAACGTATACCTCGACAAAATCTACAGTTTTTGTTGCGAAATAAACCATAAGAGATATATAGAACATAATTTTGAAAAGAAATTTTGACCTTTCATTCATTTTTCGCGGTTTGAAATTATTTATTCAAAATAAATGCAACAAGTTGTTTGATTTTTTATTGTTTTGATACTAATTCTGACATTACAAGCCAAACAGGTAGACCTCTATACTTGCAATTTTTTCAAAGTTGACCTACCTTCTCTTCATTGTACCATGGGTTCACGTATTTGTATAGCCCCCATATAACGTTACCTCCCTACATTCGATATTTTGATTTATTAGCGGCAATTATTTCAGCGAATATCTTAAAGGCATATGACAAAAATTACATACACAGATCCACGTCTTCGTAAAGGCCGCAATATAACATTATTACATTATTTTTATGATTTTAGCAACATTATTCAGCGGAATTGTTGATATTTCGTATTTGTAGATATTAATGGGTACAACCTCCTATCAGAGAAAATTGCTCATACAGGTTCACGTCTTCGGGTATAGCGGTAACTCCCTATATTCCGTATTTTTTTATTTTAGCAGTATTTTTCAAAGGAATTTTTTGAAAATTTGTTTGTTCCTTCCAAATAGTGAAGGGCATTAAAAATTCGGCCTGGCTGAACTTAGCTGTTTTTTTACTTATTTAATATAATGGATATTGAGGGTTTAGGTCCGAATTTCCAACCAATTCAGCAGTAATTTGATTTTCCTCTCGAAAACATTAAATATAGGTATAGCCTTACAGGGTGAGATAAAAAACTGCAACAAAGTCAAACGCCATAATTTTTAATTTTTATTTTATTAAATGAAAGCAAAAAATGTCGGAAATATCATCAAATTTAAAAATAAGTTTAGATTTGTTCGAATTGGTCACCTTTGGCACGAATTATGGCCTTCAAATTGGCTAGCTGCAAATTCTCAGCAAAATGCTTTTGTACGCTTGTAAACAATATAATGAGCTGTCAATGGAATAATTTTAATAATCGGAGTGGCTTAGAAATGACAGCAGTGTGAAGTTGGTAGCAGTTTTTTTCATCTCATCCAGTATGCAAAATATGTAAAAAATACAAATGTTGTGCCTTTTATTCTTATTGATTTGTTATGTAACGATGCTCTACGACCATCCAAAAAATAAATACATTAGCATAGTCTTCTAATCATGTGTCTTGGAAACGTATTGGCATTTTTCGACAAAAAAAAACTACAATTTTTCTGAATTCTGCTTTTCAATTTCCATTTCTTTCACACAAACGTAGAAGATATTATGCTCTAATTTGTTATTGCCAAAATTTTATGCATTTATGAAAGTAAATGTGAAAGTTTAAATTAATTTGAAACTAACAATTTGTACGTTTTACGACTTACGTCATTTCAGTGCAAAATAAGAGAGAAAAACAAAACAGATTTTAATAACAAATGTACATGATGACCTACATAATTTTATGGATGGTTACTGTATGCGAGTACGACGAGTACATGCAGCTATGCTGGGTACGATAATGACGAGATGAGATGATCTATGAGTTTTAGTTAAACAGCTTTGTGTATGAACGGCTAGGCAATATAAAGAGATAATAAGCTACATGTTTTTCCATAAAATCCATCTCTTCTAACAAGTGTTCTGTGGGGAAATTTGACAGTTCCTTGTGTGTGTTTAAATGACAGTGTTAAATTTACGGTTATTACCAGTCCAGCCAGGCTCTAATGCATGTTTAGAGCTTCTACTCAGCCACACTCACATTTGTTGATGTAAACATGTGTGTTGACACCCACTGTCAATTTGAACTGTCAGTTTGGTTTTGGGGTGAAAAGTATAAGCAACAAACACTTCCTAAGACGCATGAACGTGAGCGTCAGCGTGAATACGTGCGTGAGCCAAAGTAAAACATCTGTAACACTTTGTGTTTTTGTGGAGCGCTCGTTGACATTTCAAACGTGTAAACAGCTTGTTCTCAAGACAGTTATGAGGATAGAATGGAGAACATTATGCGGGGCACACGTACATTCACCACGATGCTTCGTTAGAAGCATCGTAGGAAATAAAAGAAAAAAGCAAGTCAACAGAAAAAAACTATCTGCAATGCTCTTGCAGAGCAGGAAAATGCAGACAAAGAAGAGTTGTGAAAACAAAATAATGTGGTAATGCGAAGAATGCCATTGGGATTCTTATGGCCATTTGAGTCTTGCGAACTACTTACCTTACACAGAGTTAGCTGGGAGTGCGCATTTTGCGCATCATCTGAGGTATTTTCTTTTTGCGGATACATTGTAGAGATTCTTCAAATGATTTCATCTCAGTGGCCATGTAACAAAGCACGCGTGACCGATTTCTTTTCCAGAGAAACAGTGATGTGGGTTCGGATCTGATATAAAATATGAGGCATACTCAAATTGTAAATGTAAATTCCCATAAATATCTTTAGTATAGTTCTGAAGCAACAATTAACCTGTCAATTAGGCTTAAATGAAACATGGGAGAAGCATTTAACGTTGGACGCCAACATTTCTTAAAAATAGCAAATACAAAAAGGCAAAGAAAACAAGTAAGCAAAGGCTATAGTCGTGCGGGACCGACCATGTTATACACTACAATACTACAATATGTTAGAAGTCCCCTTATGTCCTAATCCATTTTGAAAAATTTCGCTTTTGAAATTATATTAAGGAGCACTGCCCAGATATTACCCTTAGCATTTTGACCAGGGACATTTGCCCAATATTTACGCACTCTATCGCGCTGTTAGTTGTTGTATTCTATTTTACAGCTAAATATAATCCTATGGTCATACAAAATGCTAGAATTCTTCCATGTCCTTAACTCTCTTCTCAGGCGTGTCGGTTGGCTTCAATTGTGTGATCAGTAATTTTTTTCTGTGTTTGGTTCATTTGAATCCTCAAGAGGGTATCTCCAAATTCAGATTTGCTTGTCTACGATATTTGGCTATATTCATCAACGAAATCAGCATAAAAAAGCCAGAAGTTCGCCTTTTGTGTATTTCGGATATCGCCTGTAAGTAATGTTGGTATTTTTTCACACAAAAGTAGTGGTCCATTCTACCCGCTGTCGTTAACTCAAACTTAATGCGATATTTCCTTTGGTTTCTATTTGTCACTTTTATAACGGCTGCAAAATCAGAAACATTTTTGTTTTTTTGGTCCATTTCAACCACTAAATATATTGCGGACATCTTTGAAAAAATAGGCCTAGCCTATTGACCCTCGTGAGGATCGGACGATAATTGCAATCTGTATATAACAACCCCAATCTGTGCTGTAAGGTAAAAAAAATATTACAAATTATACACTTCAATATTAAAGGTCAAATTGAAAAATCGCATACGATAAAAAATATGAAAAAATAAAAAAGTGTCACAAAATACTACAAAATCTATATTAACATCTTTATTGGCATCTTTTTATGCGATTTTTTTAGATTTTATTCTTTTATGCTAAGAAGGCATTCTGAATTATCAAAATTGGTGCAGCCATTATTGAGATATAAGCATTCTAGCAAACATCCCCTTCGTTTGTATATATACATTCTAAATATTTCGCATTATATATCTGATATCGGCATCTATGTAACGGTCAAAATTGACCTGTTCGTAGATTTGTGATTATAAATATAAATATATATATTATAAATATTGTTATACATTCGGACCCATGGCTTTTTGTATGAACTCCAGTCCAGGATATTTGAATACAACCAAGACTTTCTATGCCACTGGATTGCTTGGTTAAAATAACTCTACCAAACAAAGATCATGACCAAAGAAAAACTATGTCGACCCATTTCTTTTAGTACTACCACAACACGTAGACCACAAGATTTATATAAAATTCCAATTTTACTGATACCATAGAAATGTAGGATGTATATTCCTACGGATATCTGGCTGATGTATTACTGCTTTTTAATAAGTGGAGAAGTATATCTATATATTTAAGAGGTGTGAAATAAATGACTGGCTGACTGAGAATCAACACCTTGGTGCGTAGGGCTTGGGCTGGGTTTTCTGAAAGTCGTTTTAAAGCCTAAATACTTTGTATTGGGCATACGGAATGAGGTAGAATTTGAAATGAGAGTCACTGACGGAATGCAGGATAGATGTCCCAAAGGGTTTTTGAAAATTCGAACTTTAAGGTTACGAAAAATTGAAAAATGAAACTTAACTTCTAAAATGGTACCATTTGGTATTATGTGAAAGGATAGAGCTAAACACTTGAATTCTGAAATTTTTGTATGAAAGCCACTAGTTTTGAGAGAAGAAATACTAAATTTGCCGTTGAATGAATGGGTATAGTTTATTTTGAACAGAAAATTCGGAACTTATTATCCATAAGAAATTCTCATTGAGAGGACTTTTTGGTCTCTATGAGTAGACCTCTATAAAAAGAGATCATGGTCTTCTTTGAGAAAAACACATCATGGTTTTCTATGAGAAGGGAATCTCCGGGCCTTGTTTGAGTATATCTCCTGGTCTTCTCATGGAAAAACCTCATCCTTATAAGAATCTGGTCTGTAATCCTCTATGAGAAGATGCCAGATGTTCTACGGGAAAACCTCTTGGCCTTCCGTCAAAAGGCTTTCTGGACCTCTTGGTATGGGGGAACCCTTTGGGTATCTATGCGAAGGCCTCTCGATCTTCTATTAAATGGCATCATATTTCTTTAAGGAAAGAAATCCTGATTTTATATTAGAAGGCCTTCTGGTGTTCTATAAATTGACATTTTGGTCTAAAGGAACACGTCTGACCTTCCATAAAAATAATTCCTATGTTTCATTAGGAAGAGTTATTATCTTTTTATTCTACAAGTAGTAGTATTCAAGTAGCAAGAAGTAGTCCTTAGCAGTGTCCTTGTCATCAATAAGAAGAATTATTGCTCCTTCTTGGGGATTAGTCTTTTTAGGGAAGATTGGGCGATTTAAAAACAAGTCCATTTTTAGTGGTCGTCTCAGTGCTCCATTAGAATACCCCTTGGACTTTTTTTTTTGCATCAACTGAATGAAATGTCATCGGTCTTTTACAAAAGGATCTCTTGTTCTTCCATTAAAATACATCTTGGTCTTTCATAAGAAGTTTTTTGAGCTATAATAAAACTCTAGTCTATGATAGATTAACGAACTTCAACATAAAAAAATAATGGTCCCGTTTTTTTTTAAATTCTCCATATTATTTTTTGGTCTTCGATAAATTTTGGGGTTGCAGTCCGTTTTAAATCCAGAAATTCCTCGTCGAATTCGTCTTTTTTTCTGCTGCAATGAAAACTCAGTTTTTGTATAAAAAAGGGATTTCTAAAAAAACAATTGATAAAAATCTCCTAAATAACCAATAGGCTTAAAACCGCGTATGCATCTAAATATTGTTCCAAATAGTTCCCATTATACAAACACTATTTCACCAATGCCAACCACTGTGCAACACACAATTCAAATTGCCCATAACGCGATCTGCTGTGATCTTCATGCGATGTTGTCTTTAATTGGAATTATTGGCGTAACGTTTTGTGTGCTCTACCATCATTTTCAAAGTCAATTTCATTACAAAGTGTTTTGTTGACTTCCAGTGAGACTTAAAAATCATTACAACTACTAAAAAAGTTAAAGAAAAGAAAAAAATATTAAAACGAATTAAGGAAATCAAAACATATCTTAAAGAGTGATAAAAACGACAACTAAAATACTAAAACAACAACAAACAACAAACAATAAACAATAATTGTGTACAAAATGCTGCTAATAAAATTAATTATAGTCAGGTAAGTTAAAAAAAATGAAATACATTTATTTCAATGTTTCCCACTTTGTCTGCATCAGCGCATCTAAAATTGTATCCTTAATTGAAATGTGTGTGGAGTCTCTGTCCTCTAAGCTGCACGTTTTTATTTCTCTAACTAACAACCTTAACTAGTTACCTTGTCCAATTTGGCTAGAATTGTGTCAAACAAGAATGATATCACATAGGTAAGATGGACGAGCGAGTTGCCGGTTTTTCTGTAAAGAACAGCAATTGAGATCTGTGTCATTTGCAGTTGAGACGAAGACGAATGGGTATACATTTCATGGGAATGACCAAATTGCAGAACATTATTTAAGTCGGATATTCTGTAGATATTAGCCCAAATATGGCCAAATAGTTACTCTGAGGGTAAAAACAAGATAAACAAGTAAAAAAGCTGCTAAGTACGGCCGGGCCGAATACCCTCCACCATTTGGAAAGAACTTGAAAATTATCAAAAAATTGTCCGAAAACGATCACTTAATTGAAAACTTTTATATGGGGACTTAATTGAAAACCGTTATATGGGGACTATACGAAGACGTGAACCTGCTTACGAATGTATATGCTGTAGTACCTGTTACGAACTTCAAATACGAAATTTGAAACAGTTCCAGTGAATAATGTCGCTAAAATCATTAAATTATCGAATATCGGGAGGTACCGTTATTGGGCTATACGAAAACGTCATTACGAAATTTTAGTCATAGACTGTAGTAACCATTGCGAACTTTAAATATGAAATTTGTTACAGTTCCGTTAAATAACGGCACTAAAATCACGAAAATACTGAGTATCGGAAGGTACCGCTATATGGGGGCTATACGAGGACGTGGACCATTAATATATTCCAATACGATATTTGAAATGATTCCGGTAAATAATGTTGCTGAAATCGTCAAAATACCGACTATCGGGAGGTACCGTGGAACAACTCTAGTTTAGTAAAAACTCTTAGATTTTTTCGAAATTTTTCCCAGAGATAGGTATTTTTACCCTGAATCCCGGAAACTATTTTTTTTCTTGGGGGACGTACCCGGGACCCCAGATTTTTGACCCGAAAATCCGGGTTCAAGACCCGGCCTGGACCCGGATCCAATTACCCCATATAGACGGAAGTTATGGTCAAATTATCGATTTTTTGGACCCGGATTTTTTATAAAACACCCTAAAAGTCAAAAAAGGCCCATTATGGGGGTCAACAAAATTGGTAGATATTGGTCCTTCCATCCGCATTACCCGATTCTAACCAGTTCATTAAAATTATGTTTTCAATAAAAAAAAGTTTTATTTCGCGTAGCCGTCGTTGGATTACAAAAGCACCACATTTAGAAAACTTTGGTTCGCGTTAGCCGGTGTTGGACATAGTCAGAGGAGAAAATCTCAAAATCTCCACTTGTTGGATAGGTATTTTCATAAGCTTTCCAACGATACCTATATGGTCTATATCGAGTAATTGGATCCGGGTCTAGTCGGGGTCTTGAACCCGGACTTTGGGGTAAAAAATCTGGGGACCCGGGAAAAAAATAGTTTCCCGGGATCAGGGTAAAAATACCTACCACTGGAAAAAATTTCGAAAAAAAATTGAAGAATTTTTACTAAACTAGAGTTAAGCCGTTCCGTTATATGGGGTCTATACGAAGACGTGGACCCGCACAGACAATTATCTGTCTTAGGCGGTAGTATCCATTTTGAACTTCAAATGCCAAATTTGAAACACTTCCGGTAAATAATGTCGCCAAAATCATTAAAATACCGAATAACCGGAGGTATCGTTATATGGGGCTATATAAAAATGTGGGCCTACATGGCTCATTTATGAACTTATCCTGCCTACTGGAAAAATAAACATGTGGGCAAAATTTTAACCTTCTATCTCAATTCGTTCGAAAGATAGCGTGATCACAACAGACAGACGGACAGACAGACAGCCAGACATCAAATCAATTCAAAATCAAGAATATATATACTTTGTTGGGTCTGAGATGAGTATTTCGAGGAGTTACAAACGGAATGACAAAGTTAATATAAAAATCTATTTTGTTAACAGTGGAATATATCTCACCACAATACTAAAATAAAGTATTTTACCTCCGAAAACACCAATAGGAATCTACATGACAACATTCAAGATTATGGATTGAAATCTTAGTATAGCACAGCAACAAGTTATATTTTTAGCTTTTAGTATTTTTGTAGCCTTGAGGTAGAAATTTCCAAAAATGCTACCTTTTCTCAACAACCTACACCAGAGAGATCCTTTTTAAAAATTATCCAATTATAAACTACTAGTAAGTGCCCAATACATCGTCAGCGAAAAGTCCACCTTAAAATTTTAGCTGCATTCCAACTGTTCGTGTTTGGCCTTTCCAGTACTCAAAAAATGCACAATTTGTTCAGTTTGACAAAGTTTTTTAATCATGATCTTCAAACATCGTACTAAATCTTCAGACTTTCAATTTTTTATATATCTTATTTAAGTTTTTTCCTTTTCGGAAAGAATAATAGGAACATATTTACCTTTTATATCTAAAAGTGTTTAAAAAGTTTATCTGTCATATGGAAGTTAACTCTTCGATAAACTTAAATTAATAAAACCATTGCAAAATGGACCCATTTCCACATTTAAAACGGTTCCACATCTTAATCCGAATCCACATCATTTCCGAAACCACCTTAATATCTCAAACTCAGATACCAACAGAGACCCCAATATGAACTTTCGGAATTCCATTTCTATCCTTTCACCCAATACTAAAGTTAATGTGTACTATAATTGTTCGAAAAGCACGAAAATGGACTAACATTCCAATATTAACTCCGTACCTTAAACACAGACACCAACATTGACATCTATATCAAATTTCCGGATTCCAGCTCTATTCATTTACCCAATACCAAATTTAGTACTATTTATTACTTTCCGTGCAATTATAATACGCATTTGCAAAACCACAATTATTATACAATTATAGTATACATTTCCGAAACCACCTCCATATGTCCAGGTAACACATGAACAACGATCCAAATACCAAATTCCAGATTTAACTCACTATCTGTTGACCCAATGCGAAAGTGTGCAAAATATAGTACTATTTAGTACTTTTCGTGCACTTGTTGTATGCATTTCCAAAACCACATCTTTATCGTAATCCTACCACCAACAAATTTTCAAAATTGCATCTTCATCCGTTCACCCTAAACCAAAATGTTCCAAATTTAGTACCATTCACTACAGTTCACACATTTACTTTCCGTTCACATAATACCAAATGGTACCATTTCAGAAATTTAGTATCATTTAAGACATTTTTGTAACCTTAAAGATTAAATTTCCAAAAACACTTTGGGACATCTGTCCTGAACTCCAGCAGTGACTCTCATTCTACACTCCAGAATTCTAGCTCATTTCGTTTGTCCAATACAATGTATTCAATTGTTAGTACCTTATAGTAATTTTTGTACATTTTAATTACGACTTTCCAAAACTGGCCCTCGTGCAAAATTTTAAAATTCTAGCTTTAGCAACGTTGCACCATTTGTAACTTTCAGTACTTTTTGTATCATTTTCAACGATATTGTACTTTTTGTACAAATTTTCGTACCTTTAAAATACGAAGTTCCAAAAATCCTGATTTATATCACTATTTTACACCAAAAGCGACCCATGTGCTAAATTTTAAAATCATATATATTATTTTGTACGTTTTCGTACCCTCAACGTTATATCACCAAGAGAGGCCACTTTGGTATAATTTGAAATTTTACTCCCTGCGGTACCAGAAAGAGTGGACAATAAAACCCATATTCAGAATTTTTCAAAGTTTAAATGAATATTTGGAGTTTTTAGACCCTACATCGGATCTGCATCATACATTCTATCCACACATATATGACGAAATCAGAGTACAGTTTTGACCTTTTTCATTCGGAAGTTTTTTCCTCCTTTTGTTTTGTGTGAGAGCTCTCCCGAGTCATTGATTTGTGTTTGTGTGCAAATAATAGGAAACGGGTTGAAGAGGAGGGGTGTGATCGTTTACAGAAAAAATACAACAACGGTATAACAAAAACTAAAACAGTGCTCGCCAAAAAAAAGAATCTGCTCTATTTTAAAATGAATTTTGCTCCCATTCAAAAACGAGGAGGATATGCTAACTCCTATTCGTGCGACATCTAAAAATTGAGTTTGCTCGATTTTTTCTGCCCCCAGGAGTACTCCCGCTCGAATTCGAGCGAGTTTTTCGAGGGTCTGGATGAAACATTATGAAACACAATTTTGGTCGTTTAAACTGAGACGTTTGGTCCGGAGACTGAACACGAGATCCCACAAAATAGTTACTTTTCTGACATTTTTCGTACATTTTACATAGTTGGGTCGGATCGCATTTCTGAGTACGTCACTGATCTGAAGGTTTGATATCAAAGGCAGAAATCAAACAAAGGCCAACATTTAATCCATCTTTCTTTTGGGTGGTATTTGGACAATAGTTTCATCATGTTCAAAATTTCGACGTACTTGAAGACCCCATTCGCCTTTTACGAGATTGGTGTTAAATACAACTTCGCCCATCATGGCTCAGATAAGAAAATAAGTAAAAATATATTATCAACATAGGAGGTCGCTTGATCGAATCTCCAGAAAGGATTTATGGCAACCCTCATAACCCTATAAACAATATTACCCATGGTACAATGATATCAAGGTAGGGCTATGATACCATATGATTTTAATTTTTGTTTATTTTCTTGGCTTAATATGTCATCTTTATTTGTTTATGTATGTGTTTCCTTTTCAATAACACAAAAATTGTTCAGAAAATATTAAAATTCGGGTGTTTTCAAAATGTTTATTTCAACGTATGCATCGACAAAATCTAGAGTTTTTGTAGCGAAATAATCCTTTAGAGATATATTGAACCTGGTTTTGAAAAGAAGTGTTGACCTTTCATTCAGTTTTCGCGGTTTTCAATTATTTAT